TTTACAACAGATGCTGCTGCTTCATCATCGAACGTGCTTATTCTGATAGTCATGATTACACAATATTTGCCGACACAGCAATTTTTATTGCTGCAAAATTATGTGAATGACTGCGAGATCAATCTCCTACCTCACATCTCAACAATTATTCCACACATTCTCCTCTGTTTGGGTAACACATTTAAGTAACCCAACCGCACAAAGATCTATTGGTGCTGCAGTGGAAAACTTGGTACGTTTGTGATCGAACAGAAGTTTTGTGATTCATTTTCCTGTAGTCTAGCTGGAAGCTTGTGAACTTTTAATTTTGGAGTCTTCACAAACTTTAAATCTTTGTTTATTACCTTGTTAATGAAACAAGGAGAGCACACCAACTTTAACCTTTAAGGCAATAGTTTTTTGGAAGTGACTGAAGTCTTCTTTTTGTAACCATAAACTTCTATCTGCGGATAAAGCCATTGCTTTTTTATAGACTTAGGGTGAGGTTATAAAACCTGTTGCTATCTCAAACGTTCCGCTGCGTGAGTTTTTCACTTCTTTGGATACTTTTGAAGGCTCTCCCTACATTAAAATGCTGTACCTTTGCCTTCATATGATTTAGCAATCTCATTGTGTGAATATATCTCTTCGAAAGGATTTTAATGTTCTTCCAGTCATTTATCAATGTCTGGTAGTATTGCACTGTTGAATAAACAGGTATTTGCTGTGAGTCAAATATATAAGTGAAAAACATGTCGCTTCTGACACCACAGTTTGCGTATGGAGTAACACACCATTGTATTACCATATGTAAATGTTCATCCACTGTATGATTCTCTCTTCGTGTTTACAAGTTGTTGGCAAATCAGCTAGAGTGGTGACAAAATAACATTCTAACGTATCATGTTTCATGTATACAGTCAAACATTATATCGTTCTTCCATGTTTTATTTTTGTATCTTAACACCTTGATAGATTTGAAGTATATCCTTGTAAATTCGTAGTTCACAAGTAGTTCCACAGGCGTTGGTGTTTGATCAGTCAAAAATTTTAGTGTAAGCTTTGAGAGCTAAAAGGACAGCTTAACCCTTAACATATTAGATAGACGTAATTATTAATTTTCTTTCTGTTAAAAAATACATTACAATGACGTTTATGGTAGTTATTAGAGCTAAATATCAGTGACTTGTTTCACTATGTTGCGTAAACAACGGTTTTGGTGAGATGTACAGACTAAATAAGAGGGCATGGGGGAGAGAGATGACTAACCACTATCTTCAGTGTCACCTAGTTTTCTTCCATCTTTAAAACCTTTACTTACTGTTCAACCTGAAGTGAGTTTTCTTTAAATATACAAATTAAAAAAATAGAGAAATTGATTGACTTTGCTCTTCTATTTAAACAATATACTTGATGAGCTACGAGGACTCTGGAGTGGAATGGGAGGTTACCTATAATTTCTTCTTTGTCACCTATAAAGTCAGCTTGGAGCTGGAGAGACATTCAGAATAAAGATGAGGAGGGATGGCTGATGACTGTCTTCTATGCCTTCAAGACAATTGGTTTAGTGATATTAGTATGGCACTAAATAAAAATTAATGCTTCGAGGATACACAATTGATTTAAAGTTTTCTAATCGTTGCACAGAGGGTTGAGTAAGTTATATTAAAACGATTTTGGAGCCTTAGCTCATTGTTACGGTCTATGTCAACTCGTTCAGTCATGTTCTATATGACGACCGTTCTTCTTGAAAATAGCCATGAATCGCGTTTGCCATTGCAAAATACTCGTCGTAAGGCTGAAGTGTCTAAAGCATATTGCTCCTCCATAATTCATTCAGTGTGTGATGGACGACAGTTCCCAGCGTCCATTTCAATAGTCTGAGCGCACCGAAATTCATAGGCTTTGCGTCCGGCAACTTGACTGGTATGCTTTCGTATGGAATAGCATGAATATAAATTTTGTATTCCAGCTGCTTGCGATATGCGACGATTGAGCTGGAAACATGACAGGAAGCCTTATCTTGGTGAACCCAGACTTTTTTAGCCTCGTGTCCATATACAGTTGGTATATCTGTGTGGTACAAATGGTATAGAACGTTGGTCTGATTGTAAAAAGAGTTCATTTTGACCCTTGTATCCAGTCTCCTGATTTTCAAACTTGCTTCTGGCGCAATATGCAACGATGATGATGAATCCCTTCGAATACTCCCTTGAATTTTTCCCCCATCCATACACTAGCGGAAAATGGCACGAGGGTTATTACAGTTATTGGTTTGTTTTGTATTTCGCGCAAAGCTACACGAGGGCTATCTGCGCTAGCCGTCCATAATTCAGCAGTGAAAGACTAGAGAAGACAGCTAGTCATCACCACCCACCGCCAACTCTTGAGCTACCCTTTTACCAACGAATAATTGGATTGGCCGTCACTTTATAA